AGAGAGGGGGGTTTCGGGGGGTTCGAAAGAAGCGCCCCTTTTGCTGGGAAAAGGTCCACTCTGGATAAAATTTGTTCTAGGTACATGAAGGTTTTATGGGAAAAGGTCCACTTTTTCAGAAAAAGAACCCCCCTTTTGAAATTGCTGGCTACGGGCCTGCGATCAATCAACAAACAGGTAAACAGGTACAAAGTAAACAGACACGACCATGTCTCGTTAATATGGATGTGCATAATGAGAATATGATTAATGGTTTGCAGGTTGGACTCGAGTGGTTTAACTGAAAACCTGCTATTCATCAGACACACAAGCGACTGTTCTAGAGCTCTCTCTACAGTTTCAAACCATTTAAAGCGACATATATGTATTTAAGTTACAGCTTAAGTTACATGCCAGTAGATATATAGGGCCTACATGTACCTTTGTGAATGTGAATATCCTTGCATAAAATGCTCAACTCTGAAAATGATTCCTACAAATCGTACCATCCGTGGGTACCGAACACAAGCCGTCGGTTCAAAATGCTCACCTTTCATGGACTATCTAAACTTCCATAACATTTGGGCAGTTACCGGTATATGTGATTTGAAAATCTCAGGGTTATCAACTATTCATGGTCCTTGTGGTGTTTTTCAGGCTCATGCATAATTAATAATAATAATAATAAGTTTATTGAGCACTAAATGATATGAATACATTTGCATGCTCACTAGACTACATTATTTACACAATATAAGGATATACATTTATATATGTTTACATATGCAGTATGCTAAATTACACGTGTTAATGCTTGTTAGCTATTCACAGCATTATCGACAATTAGTGACGGTGATGCACTAAATTGCAACTATGTATTTTAACAGCAGTCTTTACAAATAATATTATTTCTTTGAGACTTTTTTCACAGGGTGGATTAAGGAGAATTGACAATACCTGACCACTGTCCTCTAGACCCACTACATTGATTTTCAAGAGTTCATCATGCATTCGTTGCCTTTCAACAGTGTATCTTGCACATTCCGGGAGGAAGTGTTTTCATCCTCTACGCAGTTGCAAGCTTTACATTTTCTCTCATCAAGTGGAGTTTTAGGGTTTGTGTATCGGTCCCTTTCTATTGCCAGGTCGTGATCACTTAGTCTTATTTTTGCCAGTGGAGGAGACACTATTTTGATGTATTTTTCACATTCATAAGATATTTTAATTCTTTTGTATGTCCTTAATTGTTTGAGGTCCAGTGATCTAATTCCTGCCAAAACAGTTTTTCAATTTTTATGTTCAATTTTTCTACTAGGTTTTCTATTCCATGTATTTTCATTGGGTGGTTGGACCACCTTTGCACACGATTAACAATTGCCCTGATATAGCGGTACTATTACGCGCTTATACCAGTATGTGCAGATAGAAAACTCGGCATGCGACACGTAGCTTGCAGTCATGCCACGTTGTGATAGGTGTTACAGGTAGAAAGTTACAAGCTAAAACATGAAAATGCCCAAAAAGGCACCCTAAAAAGTTACACTATCTGACCAGCATGGATAGTATTGGGGAGGTTATGGTTCCAGAGTATTTATTAAAAAATTAATAAATCAATAAAGGGGTCACTTTTAACGACAGTGATTTAATGTGAGATGCAGGCCTTATTCGACCATTCGCTATGTTTTTTAAAATACAGCATTTTAATGTAGCAATAACTCAGGTGGCTGGCCTGTCAGGACTGATACCATTATGAATTCATCTGTGTAAGCATTGTGGTAGTGTAACACGTGTTAGCACAAAGTCGACGGCGGTGGCAGTGTGATCGATCACTGTACTCTCTGTAACTCACGTTAATGACATAGCGCACAGTTGCCGCGGTAAGGTGGATGGAACGAATTTATCGTGGTTTCGACACTATTTTGATGGCCATTGTGAACTACACCTTACTCATTCTACCGTTCCTTTTATTAAATTATTCTTTCATGTAACCGTCACTTGACACTACAAGCCCCCTTGGGTGGTTTCGAATTTTATTATTTCTTATACTGTACCTCATCGAGTGCTCTTTATTTGGTATACGTGAGTCATATAAAGCGTATATATATCAAATACAAAAAGTAGGTAATTTTAAGTAAACGATTATATGTAAGCCTTTACTGCTGAATATTGAGTGAAGAAACTGGAGATTTGCGCGGGTAATATTACAGATTAAGATACGCCACTTTCTCTTCTTCTTAAAAGTGAATGCACTACGAAATCTACAAAAGACTGGAATATAGCCTATGCTAATCTTCAGGTGTGTGTCATGATGTATTTTTAGAGATGTTGCAATTAGTTAAATTTCAGTAAATAGATCGTATCAAATCACCGTATCAAATCATCGTATCAATATCTTTAATAAGAAAAGAATATGT